CAAAGGACCAGCATAAACCAGCAAAGGACCAGTTTAAACCAGCAAAGGACCAGCTTAAACCAGCATCCCAGCGTCAAAACATACCTAACCAGCATATGCTGTTTTTTTCTACAGGGACAGGAAACATTAACATTAGGATTAAAATATTCTAAAACTATAACACTTAGCAGAGCCTGTCTGACACTGATGTACTCTGCAGAGGTGAACTGTGGCAAGGGGGTCGTTTAGAGTGACAGCTGCCCCTGATATTCCCTGATTTTATTACATTTTATTGAATGTCTGATGGTGTTGACAAAACGTGAGGACGCAACCTTAAAATCTTATGAAACATGCATGTGTCATGAAAAAAACAACCTTGCTTTGATAGGAGATATTATTAAGTGTTGCTTTTGATAAAACAAGTTACCCTTGCTGGACCTGTTTTGTCCCATGTCTCAAGAATGATCAAAAACGGGTTTGCAAAAAGATCTAAAATTGTTCATGATCTAGTTCGATTAATTCAGGAAGCACTCACGCACCTGAATCGTTTGCAGCTTTTCTTACACCGAAATGGTAACTTTATAAAAAATATCTATCTATCTGAACAATGAAATGCTGCATTCGCCCCGCTAGTATAATTATATTATATATACTATAATTATATATATTTTTTATAATTGACACTATATTACAAGTGCATAAATGTGCATCATTAAAGGTGTTATATTGCACCTGCTGCAATTTTAAGCATATACACACATATATTAGTTGCCATGCCACACTTCCCATAGCAATCCACTTTTTCCCCTTAAAACTCACAGATGAGCAATGTTTCTTAGTGTCTGCCCTTACTAAGAACTGCGCTTAGTTGTATTAAATGTATTCTTGTAATGTATTTCTAATCTTAAAAGTAGCCTACATAAAAACAGTTCAATCACTCTCAAATTGTTTCGTTTTCTTTTACTGAAATACTGATGAATCTGGGTAACCAACACTGACTTCCACAGTATTTTTTTTCCCCATACTATGGAAGTCAGTGGAGACCAGCAAGTGTTTGTATATTTTGTTTATTATATATCTGCAGTACACTTTAACCACATTTCAAAGACAAGAAAATTATGAAGTTGGATATAAAGAGTCAAGTCCTACTTATTTGGGGACAAAAAGCACTCTGAAGTTCAACTAATTGTATTTAATATAAATTTAAACTAGGCCTACATTTTCATTTAATTGTAACTAACATGCACACTTGCATTTTAAAGTATATTACTCCGTAATAAAAACTCTAACTATGCTGAAGTGGACTTGTTTTTCACAAGGGTGGACACAAGTGCAAAACAATTAAAAATAAATAACTCCATTTAATATAAATTAGTATCTTTATTTTATTTCAAAAATTCTTCAAATCAAGGACTGTTACCCATAAAGCACACACTTTAAACTGTTAGAACATCCATGAGGAACACATAATCCAACTTTTAAAAAACGATTACATTTTCAAATATGTCCATGTTGCCAATGCCAACCCCTGACAGCCCATATCAATCCAAACTTATCTTTGTAAAAAATAACCATTTATTTGTATGCAAACACATTTTTGCCTTAGACACGTTGATTCAAAAGTGTTACCCCCACCCAGCTTATGAGGTACAAAACCTGTTTTAGCAGCCTTTCTAAAGCTACATCGTGTTAGTAAAGGAAATAAGCAGGCAAATCCTGAGGAACGTGAGTTTCAACCAAACTGCAGTGCCTCAGATTAGCCTAGTGGTTCAAGTCTCTAAATGTATGCTAGCACTCCCTTTCTTAGCATGTCAATGCTTATTAATGCAGCACAGCACAACTTCGCAAGTAAACATTTTAAAAACATAAATGTTTATCATGTGCCACTGCATCCCATTTTCCCAACTTAGTTAATTAGCTAAGACTAACCACAGAGTTCAGGTAGCGCTAACAGCAAACTGATAGCCGTCAGTGTAACATGTTGTTCTTGTCATAGCATCACAATAAATCAAGAGATTGTCCATCGTGGCTCACTGTCGACAGTTCTATCATTATTCGTGAAGTAAATAAATGAAACGCACTAACAAAAAAATGAAAAGAAACACAAATAAATAAAAAGGATTAGTTACACATTTCTTACACACATTGATACCAATTTTTTTTGCATTTGTTGTCTTGTTTGGTTGGTTTACCACAGTGACTGCTGCGTTACATGTGGTTACAACATGTTTTTGATGTTTACACACATTTGAGGAAATGACGGTCATCTTTTCCACATACAGACTCTCCGTACTCTATCACTTCAATACTGAAAGTTGAGGTTTTTTGGTGGATGTTGAAAGGGAAAGCTGGTAAAAAGGCCTTCTGTACACCCGAAGGGGGTCTTGAGTTAAGTCTGTTGAAGTGCTACTAAGCATGTAACATGGAAATGAAGAGCTGGCGCTGTCCACTGCTGTTCAGCGTCACAGAGCTGTTAGTAGATAAGCTGCTCTCTTTCCGTACCCACAAACCTGTTGCGAGCAGCCATGACTTTTGCTTTATTTACAGATGGGCCTGTGAAAAGAAAAAGGGAGAGGCTTGAAGAACTTCTTTTTCACATTTTCATATTTTTATTTGGCACAATCCAAATATTTGGTTTAGAAGACTTTATGTGGCTGGCTTCAGAAGTCTAGGGCTCTATAGGGCCTTTCGCACTGCAGGAACCTTTTCATAGTACCAGAACTAATTGTGGAACTACCCACTTTTTGGCATTTTGGCACCGCCGGAACTGGGAACGATTTTAGTACCGGACTGCCTTTTTCGAGAACCAAATTAGCTCCTACTCCGGAGCAGGGTCTAACCAGCACAACTGGTACTAATCGTGACGTAAGTAGACATTGATTGGCCAAACGCGTACGAAAACCCCCCCCCCCGCCATGATTTAAAACGCCGTGTAAACATACTGTAAACTTTGTGTCAACTTATTTTGCAAGTATGGAGAACAGCGATAGATGGACGGACGCTGAAGTGCAGGCACTTGTAGCAAATGTAGCACTGCCAGTTGTCGTTGGAGATTCTTAGTCCTCCTTTCCGTTCTTTCAATCGCTTTACATATACGTCGACTTTCCATGTCCATTATTGTGAAACCCGCAAGACACAACAAACACACAGCTCCGATCACAGCGTCCTCCATCCTCCTGTTGTTAATGTTGTTCTTCTTTGTTTCGGTTGTTGAACGCCGCGCACAAATGATGTTGCTGTCGACCGGTTCCTAGTACACACTGTCGGTGCGAATGCAACCCTTTAAATGGTACTGGGAAATAGTTCGCGCAAAATCGTCCCAGTACTTTAGTACTGTACATTTAGTTCTGGAACTAAAGTGGTGCGAAAGGCCCTTAAGAAATCCATTTGATTTTTTCCCCAAATACACTTTTTTTCCATTTGAACTTTTACTGGATTCCTTTTTTATTTCCTGTATTTCATTTTAATGGTTAAATTAAATTTTAGTAATCAAAAAGCATGTCAAATTAATTTAAGTCATTAAACTTCAACAATTTAACAACAATTTATTAAAAATGTTAAAGCTTAAGTTTTCAGGGCCCTACGAAAACTTTTCACATTTTAATGTCTGAATTCTGTTTTAATGGTTTAATTACATTTGAATAAAAAAGCATGTCTAATCAATTGAATTAAGACAACTTTAACAATTAAATACTTTATTAACAATTTTACAATAACATTTCTTTTATTTTTTATTTTTCAAAAACGGTTGTCGGTTTAAATTTTTTTCTGGACTTATGTTCTAATACAAATTTATTATCGAAAACAGTGGTAATTAAATGAAGGCATGAAAGATTTTTTAAAATGTAATTAAATATTTCAAAGAAAAGTGCTGCGCAACAGGTTTACTATTAAAATTAAAACCTGGAAGAAAAATTATGTATTCCTTAAAAATAGAGTTGTAATAATTTAAATATTATTATTATTATTACTTTAAAAAGAATATTATAATGTACAATAGTAATCGGTTTCATCAGTTTCTCCAAGTTAAACTTGACTTTTATTTTGGCGGGATGTCTTGAAGACCTTTGACCTTTCTATGTGTGTATCTGACAATGGTTTTATCAAGTGAAATGGTGAAATTTTAAGTGTACAGCTGTAATTTAGATTTAGTCATCCAAAACGTGACATTCCACATAATACTATTAATTTCATTTTTAGAACTGGATTTTGAGATTCTGTCTGCCATGGAAATCAAGGGGCTTCTTTAAGGGTATTTTTTTGTGCTTCGTCCTCAAATTCTCAATTTTAGGTGAACGACTTCTTTAAAACAAATTGTGAATGTTAGAATTTTGTGATTTACCTGCATAACTGAGTAACACAGGCAGAAAGATGAGGCCGTGAGCGGCTCCTAGCAGGACTATTGAGAGATACATGCGGAAGTAGAAAATCTGGAAGATCTGGGATTTGGACAGGGCGAGAATCAGGATCCCGCCGAATTTAGTGAGGGTGATGCCACTGAACACCTGCGGAGTCAGAGCGGCATGTAAGAAGACGCTTCACTGCACTCACATTATATGCTTTCACGTTCACCAAGAATATGTTTGTGCACGTTACATTCATACAACAGTAGCAAACATCACTCACAGAGCTGCCCATGTGTGCCAGCGCCTCCTCTGCACGATCCACCCTCGAGCTCCTGGTACTGACAGAGAAAGCCCTCACAATATGACTGCAGAACTCCACCGATATGCCACAACACTGTAAAGGAAACAAATATGGTAAATTATGTTAGCGAGCACTGATAAAAGTGTTTCAGTAATGAATGTTATATGTAGGTCACAAGCTTCAACAATCCTGTATTACCAGTTCCATGAAACACTATTCCTTTAACTCACCATGACAAGGTTGACCAAAGAGACCGCGTTGAGACTGATATTCCACAACCACATGACTCCGAACATGTTGACCAGGATCATGGCGATGGTGAAGGACACCAGTACTGCCGACCACAGCTCAAAGCCCAAAAGCACCGTAGACACCACAAAGATGGCCCCCAACGACACACCAAGGTTAAAGGCAGTGTCATAGATGATCGTGAGATACTGTTCATAGAAGACGTAGAATACACTGTCCATGGAAGAAAAAAAAAAAGACATTTACAAACAGGTCAGGGGCCACGGCGATAATTACTGATTGCAATTGACAATACTAGTATGTATGCATGTATTTATAAATAAAGAAAGATTTAGTATAACCACAATTCTCATAAATGTGACAATAAGGTAACTCATTTTAAAAATTAACTGTTTGGCCTTAATGTGTTGAACTGACAAGCATAGTGTGTGTGTGTGTGTGTGTGTATATATATATAAATATAAATATAAAAATAAATAAATAAATAAATATATATATATACTATTTGGTCACTGTACCCAACATAGGTGTATATAGCATACTGGTAAAATCCTATGTAGCCTGAATCCTGAAAATTGCATTAAATTAGCCAATTAGAGATTGCAATTTTGGCAAATGCTTGGAAATCTTGTGTAAAATACAAATCAGACACAAAATGGATCACTAAATGGATGGTGGACAGGTACCGGATGCATGCGATTTATGGGAAATCTGATCAATGGAAATGATGTAAACGTACCCTTTTCCACACTTGATATTTGGGTTGTCTGAGAGAAACATGGGGAGGAAGCGCATGAATTCAGTACCATTAGGCCTCTGTTTCCCACTAGTGGTCATAGGTCTGCAGTGAACACAGGTCTTATCCACCACTGATGGAAAGAAAACATCACAATTATTACAGGACAATAGTTCATCCAAAAATAAAAATTCTGTCATCACCTTGTGTGTTTTACAAAAATCAAATAGGTTTGTAATTGTGGGTGAGTAAAAGACAGTATTTTCATTTTTTTGAAGTACTATCCACATAATCTGATACTAAAAAAATGCTTTGATTGTGATGGTATATTTACATATATCATGACACATAATTTCCATTTAAATATATTTAGGTTCAAAGACCCAAGAATAGTGTGATCTGTACAATGGCTTCTGAAGTGAACATTCAATAACTAACAAACCCCACCCTGGATAAAGGTCCTCTGGGGCAATGGAGGTCAGGGCTCTGTTGATTCGGTGGATAATGGTTTACCTGAAGCATTGCAGAACGCTCCGGTGGTGTTATAATATCTGCAGCAGGAGGACTGCGGCTTCACCCAGTCAAAGTAGTCGTCCAGCCAGGACGATGGAATGTTGTTGATCTTGGTACTAAATTTACAACACAAAATATGGCTTTATTGATCTGACAAAAGTTATCCAAAAGCTGAAAGCAGTTGGTAAATTCAGCAACTTTTCTGAGAATTTCCGACACTTACATGACTGACAAAACAAAGCCAAACACTATGTGTTTATTGCATGGTTATTATAGTTAACTAAAACCAAAAACAATTTTTTTTACTTAAAATAAAATGTAAAATTAACTTAGTTTCCTAAAATAACAAACAAAAATTAATAAAAAAAAAAAAAAAAAGATTTTATACGACTAAATTTTTTTCCTCTCACAATTTGCGAAGTCATGGCATTGGATGTTGGTAGTTTTATGTATATTGCAGCCACTGCACTATAGGGCTGTCAAAAAAAAATAAAATCCACATTCGAATTTTAGTTGATGTTAGTTTCGAGATGCGATGACGATGTAAGTGTCGTTGCATTATAATGTTTTTGTTAGCCTATCCAGTTGAAGCCACTAGATGCGGCGCTGCTAGCGTTGTTCATTAAAAATATTGTGGAAAAAGAGAACATCAATGCGGAGAAGATCTTGTTTACATCAAAACTGAAACCAAGCCATTCACACAGAACACATATTTCGCGCATTTTCTAGAGGGATATCTATCACCGTTGCAATCGCATCTCGCACAAAGGAGCCGCATGTTTAGAAAGCCATGTAAAATTAATGTAATTTCAACTTTGAAAAAACATACATTGAGACTTTATGGCGGGTTTTTTCCTCATCCCACTGCATCTCATGTTTTTAAATGAAAAATGAACTCTGTGTGATTGGCTTTCCGCCCTTTGTATTAAACGATGCATACATTCATGATGCTGTTTTGTTTATAGTTGTTTTAGCAACTTAATGTTATAAACCAATTATAATTAATTAATTATTTTAAACATTATGCACTTTTTTCACAGATAGTCATGTTAATTAATGCGAATAAACATGCATTAGTAATATTTTGCTCGATGCGCCCTCTTGTGGCGTCAGAAGAGAAGCCAAAAGCTTTTCTTCATCCTAACTGAAATTATGCATTTTACATTTTTTTTTTAATTAAAGGAGACTTAAACGAGTACCTCTAGTGAAGCAGCATGGATAACCGCTGCTGGTATAAACACAAGCATTGACTAGAGTGGCCGGTGGCCGTGTTGGATCTGTAAAGTGCCGCAGATGTGTGCAGTGTAAATAAGGGGTTATCCAAACGTTAATGGCAAGGAAAGCCCTTTATACTTCAGAGCGGCCACGTATGAGGTGTTTCTTGGAGGTTATAGTACATTAAAGAACGATTATGTGACTTTTATGCCAGGAGACCTGGAAATGCGAAGGAAAAAAAAAAAAAAAAAAAAATGGTTTCCATTGCAATTTTGCGATATATTCCTTTTTCACATTTTCTGAAAAACCACCTCATGCAAGCATACAAACTTTTTTGCGATATATGGAAGTTTTTGCAAAATATACATTTTTCAATTAGGCATATTTTCAATTCACAATTTCAATTTGTGCATTTTGAAGGGTAATGGAAACGCGGCTACTGATACCAAAATAAGACTGCTTTACTGAAAATAAACTTTTTCTCACTGGAAAGGTGTCAAAAAGTGTCACTCACAAGTTATTCAAGAGAGACGCGGTATAAATTTGCTGGACTAGAGAGTTGCTGTTGCAGCCCACTCCGCCACACACCGCGTTCTGACCCTCTGATGTTTTGTAGTCATGTCCATCCTCTACCACAAAGTAAACTGGCGCCCCAGTGTGCAGGTACTCACTCAGATTCCCAAAATAATCCAGCACATAGGAGTCCTGTGAGATGGTAAAGATTTATGTTCACAATGACAACTATCAGGTTCTTTAGAATGCAAATATGTGCGAAGGGAGAGAATGGGTATATACGTACATCAGGCATGGACAATCTCTGATCAAGTCCAATCTCCACTTTATTAACAACGGCTATACTAAATGACAGCATTCCCACAAACACAGCAACCTGCAAAAGAGAATCAAAAATTCTGAAAAATGCAGAACTTGATAAAATCTATTTGTACAAAATTGCCATGTTTAAGTAGCTTTACTGTTATACAGTAGCAGTTGCATCACAATTTTTCATTTATTTTATTTAATTATTTGCTTTATATTACATCATTCATAATTAGTGCTGTCAAATGATTAATCACATCCAAAATAAATGTTTTTGTTTATATTATATATGTATGTGTACGGTGTACATTTATTTTGTATATATAAATACACACACATACAGTATATATTTTGAAAATATTTACATGTTTATACATTTATATGTTCATATTCTTATATTTTATATTATATATAAATATATTTAATATATAAACATGACATTTTTATTAAATATATACATGCATGTGTTTGTATTTATATATACACATAATAAATATACACAGTATACACATATTATGTAAACAAAAACTTTTATTTTGGATGCGATTAATCGTTTGACAACACTATTCATAATGCATTAAAGTGTAATAAAAAAATAAATTTAGATTAATACTATTTCTATTTTGTCTTGTTTCTTTACACTTACCACCAGGGGGCGCACCCAATCCTTCAAGATGAAAGGAGCATATATCTTCTTAAAAAAGCGGAACAGACAACCTTCTGATGTTCCCTGCTGTCCCTCAGACAACTTCACACAGCACAATATATCTGGACGATTTGCCTGGGAAACAAAGAATAAGAAAGAAAGAAAGAAATTAAGCCACATATCTGAAGCATCTCAAATCATTACGTATTGAAACAAACAAAAAAAAAAGTGCTTAAAAAGTGACTGATTACCCACTGTAGTTTTATTAAGTATGAAATATGTTGCTGTGAATTATAATCTAATATTAAACCTACTTCATATTTTACTTTTTTTCTGTTCCTCTAATTCTGTTTTCTCCCACAGATAGTACTGGTGTGACCTTTGACCTCTCACCTCTTGTCTTTTGATGTCCAGGCCCAGCAGAGACACAAAGCAGCTGATCTGCAGAAGGAAGTCAATGAAGACGGCCAGACCAGCGAATAGAGAGAACGTCCTCACTGCAGGCATGCTAGACAGAGCACCTGGAGACATATGCAGATAGGAAAACTATAGTCATCTGGAAAGGGAAATGTGAGTCTCACTTTATGAAAGCTCCTTTGTCATATGTAATGCATATTATTGACAGGGTTTTTCTTTTTTTTTTTTTAAATATTGCACAAAAACTTTTTACATATTTTATACTAATACTTCTGCAGATCTTATTCTGCTAAGGGGAAAAATGATAAAGAAAGAAAGATAACAAGTCTGAGGATGGCATACCTAAAAAGAAAGCAACAGTCTCAGAGAAGGAAGAGAGGAACATGCTGGGAGCCACCTCTCCGAGGATACGTCCAATCTGCTGATGAAGCTCCTCCTCAAGCATTCTCTCATCCCTCTGAAGAAAAGAAAAATGTATTACTTGGCAGTTTTGTGAAGGCAAACGATCTCATCCATCATCAATCTTAAAAACACTAAAGTGAAAACAAAATTACCATTTAAAAACAGGAACTAAAAGGTGCTTGTCTGAACTATTTTAGTGGAATGAGTCAGTTGACATTAAAGGGGTCATATGATGTTGCTAAAAAGAACATTATTTTGTGTATTTGGTGTAATGAAATGTGTTTATGCGGTTTAAAGTAAAAAAAGACCAAACAAAGTAGTTTCGCTTTCACAACGAAAATCACAGCGACCTAGCGTGAGCCGAAGCCCCGGTTTAGCGTACGCTGAGGCCGGGATAGAGTGAGCTGAGGCCGGGCTAGCGTGAGCCGAAGCCCCGGCTTAGCGTGCGCTGAGGCCG